GTCGGTTTCTTTCCTTTTTTTTTTTTAGTTTTCTTTTTTCTGTCTGGTGGGTGGGTTTGGTGGGAGTGAGGGAGGGAGGGAGGGAGGGAGGGAGGGAGGGAGGATGTGTCTCACCTTAGGTAGCTTAGGCATAAACAAGGACATTTTGTGAAGTAACTAAGTTTTCAATAAAGCATCAGTGGAGAGGGACTCTACAGCTTGGTAAGGCTTTTGAAAGGTGATTGCATGTGAGCTCACACAAATGTGGAGTAGAGAGGTTCTGCAGACAAGAGACAAAGAACCCTGAAGGCTGAGGAGAAAGGCCAAAAGAAAAAAAATAACGAAGTCCTCAGTAGATGTGGGGGTTGGGGACAGCAATGGCCACACACCTAACAAGTGCAATACTATCTATCACACATTGAACATTCTGGGTCATGAACGTATGAATGGGTGAATGGATAAAAGATCACAAGCTTTAGCATCTGTGTTTAGCTGCTCACTAGAGCCAGGGTGGATTCTTTGCCTGTTATAGGTTACTTATGTCCGTTTTAAAATAAACCATGTTATAGAAGATGCTTAACGGTTGAACATAGGAATAAAAAGAAAGATGGTGGTTGCCAGGGGAGGGGGGTGTCAGAGGACAGTTGCCAAGGGGTGAGTTCAGGAGCTGGGTTTCACACTACGCCCCTACTTCATGCAGCTGGGCCGGATACTTGAGAATGGTGAAGACAGGAGCTCTTAGAAGATGCACACTTTATCACAACCAAAAATTGAAAGCGCTTAGGTCTGGTAGGGCAGGCCTATAATCCCAGCGATTCAGCAGGCTGAGGCAGGAGGATTCCGAGTTCAACCTCTGCCTGGGCAACTTAGTGAGGGCCTGTCTTAAAATAAAAAGGGTAGGGCTGGAGATAGAGTTCCGTGTTGGAGCAGCTCTCCAGCATGCAGAAGCTCTGGAGTTCAACCCTTAGCGTTGTAAAAATAATAAATCATTAAGATGTCAAATTACTTAGATTAGAAAGGGTAGTGGTCCTGTTTGTTTCCTTGCACTAGTCAGATTATTTTACTCTGTCTCTGTTTCCCCCACCCACCAGTGCACATGTGTGTGTGAGTATGTGTGTGTTAGAGGTAGGTGTTTTTTGTTTATTTTAATTCTGGACACCTACTTTCAAACCTATCAGCTCTGGCTCCTCCCCAAATCATCTTTAGGAAGTGACCACCCACTCTGAGGTGCACTTTTCAGTCTCTTCTTCGTGGGTGGTCCAAAGAACAGCAGCTCTTTCCTAGCAGTTCACAGGGGGCGGCTCAAGATCTAGAGGCTGAATCTGGGTCCGACGACACTGGTGGAAGCCTAATGAGACACTAGGAGCCTGCGAGCTGGGAGGGGTGGAGTGGACAGATTCAGGGAAAGGCTGCCAGGGAGGGGGGCTGCTGCAGAGCCTGGGCGCTGTTGCCTAGAAACAGAAAGGACGCTGTGGCCTGAACACAAGGGGAATACCCGTTGCCTGGAAACAGTAGAAGGCGACCTTTCTCCTGGCAAGGGCAGGTCAGATAGCTCAACTTCTCAGATCAAGAATATGGCTATGGCAGGACGTGTGGGGCAGATGAAGAATCAGGATGAGGTTCACCAGAATCAGATCTTGCGGGAACTATTTCTCAAAGAGCTCCGGGCACAGAAGCTGTACACGCAGTATCATGTGAATCCCCTGCGCAAGGGTGAGCAGGCCCAAGAGGGTTGGGGGGGAGTGGGAGGGCAAGCATCCTCTGCCTCTAGTCATCTAGAGTTCAGACAGTTGAGCTTTGAGGGGATCTCTCCCCATGTCACCCCAGGCACAATAGATGCATTAAAATGCATCCAGAATGAAACATTTTAGATGTAGAATAAAGATAAACGCTTTATGGGGTAGTTTTGCTTCTCAAATAATTGCAACAGGGTTTTTATGTCTGCTTTTTGTTTGCAGTTTGGTCTCTTTTTAATACACCCAAGGAGTGTTTTCCTTGTATGATTTGCTATTATTGCTTTGACTTTTTGCCACAGACTTCCTTAAGACTTAGAAATGGTGGGCTACCAGGTGCAGAGCTTGACAGACTCCCTTACCCTAACCTCAGTAGAGCCACTCCTCCTCCTGGCCTCCCACAGTCTCCCTCCTCTGTGACTTCACAGGGCTCTGTGAATATGCTTGTGCTTGAAACAGACTCATGTGTCCCACCCCGCACTCCAGCAGCCCTCCCCGGAGCAGCTCACGGGTGCCTTGCTGGGTGAATGTTTCCCATCCTCTGCTGCTCTGCTGGCCTGGTTTAACCACCCTGCTCCACTAGCTCAGCATTTGTCCTCACGTCACTGCACGTTGGTGCACACACTGGTCACCTGCCACAGTTCTCCCAATTAACATCTGTGCAGCCCAGTGAAAGGTCAGAATGCACGCGCAGCCCCTCCATCTATTTAGGCCCCTCACTCTCAGCTAGCGTCTGAGTAGGCTGCTATGGTGTATGAACCCTTAGGAGGGTTTGAGGTAGTCTGAGGGACTCCAAGCTACTCTCCAAGTAATTCTCCCCTGGCCCACTCCTTTTGGTTTTTTTTTAACATATGTTAAAAGACCAGAGCCTACGATTCCCTTTGTAAACATTTTGGTTGCCTCCTGCAGTTTCTGAGCTGAAATTTCAACCCACCAGCCTCCAAGGTTCCATTGGCTCTGGCTCTGATTCCTATCCAGCTCCATCCATTGTGAACCCCTACATGTGGCCCCATCCACCCTGTCCTACCCAAGATCCTCCCAGTGCCCGCTCTGCTCTGCACTGCTACTACACACACACAGACACACACACAGACACACACACAGACACACAGACACACACACAGACA